GTGTAAATTCATCAGTTGTACGTGCATACTGTATATAGAGTGTATATGTGAATATGCATGTGTGTGTGAGTGCTGTGTTAAACTCCTCCACTGCACTCTGAACAAGCAGAACACACACGAGAGAGGAGAGCTTTACATTCTTCACATCTGTGTGTAGTTTGGTGTGTGTATGTGGCTAATTACTTTATGTTTGTGTGTAGAGTTACTAGACAAAAATACCATTATTAGAAGAGTTAAAATAGTTTTGAAAGAAGTGTTGCTTTTGCGAGATGTGTGATGTTTTGCATGTTGTGTGTGTTTTGTGGTTTTGTGTGTAGAGTTTTAAGAAATGGAGCCATAGTTTCAAAAACTGTGTGTAAGCATTTTTTTAAAAACTGTAAAGATCAGCAGAATTGAGCAGATATACAGACAGTTGAGCTACTTAAAAAAAAAGCTGTAGTGTGTTTGCTCTTTGAGTATGAATACAAACTTCTTTAATTTACTTTTACTGTAGTATTTTGGTAGTCAGATCCTGACACAATGTAACTGTACTCAAAGTGTGTACAGTCAGCATCAGTGTATTAATGTGTCTCGCACTCTTTTGAGCTCAGAATAAACCAGCAAATAAACCGTTTCTCGAACTGAGAGTGAACAGTTGGTGATTGCCTGTACTCCATCTCTTAATGTCTTCAGAGAGGAATTCATTATATCTAGAGACTGATTTAAGAAGAAAACAGTATCTGAGAGCCGCTGTAAAGCACTGGTGTGAGGAAGACACTGATGATGTACCTTTAGTTACGTGTGTGTTTGTAGTCGAGGGATCCTCAGAGTGTGTGCTGTGGACTGGAGTCACTGCTGTCGCTGAATCAGCTTGAGCTGTGAAAGATGAATATTAGTTCAGGTTAGATTATGACAATCATATTTTAATCATACAAGATAACTTTAGCATTAGTATTATAATTGCACATCTAACAGAAACTCTTCCATAACTGATTGATGAGCTTGTTTTCTCACCTGAACTCTTGACAGTGTATGTGACTGAGCTCTTGACTTGATCTCTCTGAGTAACATTGCATCTCCACTCTCTGTTGTGATCTTCATTCAGGAGTGTTGTATTCAGAGTGATGATACAGTGATGTGATGAGGATAATATCTGATATCTGGAGTCTGATCTCATCAGTTTAACACCAGCCTGATTCACCCAGAACAGCTGAATTCTCTCAGAACCGATCCAATCAACACAAGAGCCTCCAGCAAATGAATACAACTGACAGAAGAGAGTCACAGAACGGCCTGCACTGATCTCAGTCTGTGAGGAGGAGGAGGAGGATGAAGAGACTGAAACACAAAATAACACACAAATCACAGACTCTTCAATCATCATGAGAGATTAAATGAAGAATTTAACTTTTTAAATTGACCACATAATCATAAAATTACCATGAAGAACATGCAGATAAACATGAGCATCAGGTCCTTGTTGTTCTCCATTCACATATTGTCTGCAGCTGTAATATCCATAATCTTCTGTTGAGAGCATTATAGACGGGCATCTTCACCAGAACTGATGAACACATAAGTCACTTTCTCTTCACTGGTACCTGAAACACAAGAACACAAGTGTGATAATTATACTACATATTAATAAATGAAACTTTATTGTATGCATATATACACTGAACTCTTTCACAGGAGTTTAAAGAGCATGTAGAAGTGTGTTTACCTGTGAGAAGTGAAGAGAGAACGATCAGTCCCAGCAGACACAGATGACACTCATCAGACATTTTCTCTTTCTCTCAGTCTTCCTCTTCAGTATATGATCTCAACTCTTTCTTTAAATACTATCAGCTCTTCCTGTGGTTCTTCACTTCCTCTGATCTACAGACTGAGGGATATTGATAGAGTTGCTGTTTAGTGACTCAATACCAGTGCATAATGAAGACGTGCTGCTTCACATTTCTCTTGTAAATATTGATGAAATATTTTATGTATCCTTGTAACAAATGTTCGTAGGTCGGGAAGAAGGAGGCGGGAACCGGCGAACATTTGTTACAAGGATACATGCTCCATGCTCGATGGCACTGCGGACTCACCCCAGCGGCGAGGGATCTTTGGCAGCGTGTCCCTCCTTCCTCCCGGGTTTCGGCACCAATGTAACAAACGTTTGTAGGTCGGGAAGAAGGAGGCGGGAACTGGCGAACATCCAAAGGAAACTTTAATAATAAAATAAACACAAAATAAACTCCAGGCCTGGTCCTCTCTCTTCCAACACTGTTGTCACTCCTTCTTTTATCCTTCCGGAGCTCCTCCGTGGGACTCGAGACCGGTGAGTGGCGCAGGTGTCGCGCATTAGCAATTACTCCCCCCGCCCCACTCGTCACAATCCTATAGAAGACATTTGAATACGTTTTTTTTTTTTTTATTATTATTATTATAATTTTTTTTTACTATAACTAAAAAAATACAAACTGAATGAATGCTAAGTCCTGGTGTCCTCTACAGAAGACAGCATAACATAAAAAATATATATAATTTTCCTAAAATGTTATTTGTTTTCCATTTTTTCTTATGCTCTATACAATGTAATGATATAAAAAAATACTAAATTCATATGCACTATATATATATATATATATGTTTCGGCCTTTGTTTTGGCCGCGGAAGCATGGTAGCAGGCTTTGTTTTGAACGCACTTCATTCCATGAAACGCTTATTCTTTCTTCTCATTTATTCAGGTAAATAATTGACCAACAAAAAACATATTAAAATTAAGATACAATGACGTTTATACTTTTCTTAATTAGCAAATTGAACTAAACAAAACACAAACAAATAATATTTAAACATAAATAATAGAAAATAAAATTTACTTTCTTAAATGGCTACAGCAATATATATATATATATATATATATATATAT